TCTTTGTTTGAAACAATGACAACATGACAGACAACAGTCACTGCAAAACCCCTGCACTATGTCCTTGCTCAGGCCTCTCACCTGCAGTTCATACAGCTCACTCCTGCAGAAAGGTCCACCAAGACTCTCTGCTCCTCCCTGGTGGCCAAAGGAGGCATCAGCACAGCTGGCTTCCTCCCTTCTTCAAGCTGAGTCCACTGTAAACTCTGGGCTGCAGGGCTGTGTCAGTGTCTCATTTGGGCTCTCCTCCCTTCTTGCCTCTTGTTTGTTCCCTTTAGCCCACCGTTAGACACTTCAATGCAGGGATCTCTTTGGCACGCCTGTATGTTGAACAGGAACTCCTTTGTTGAGTTATAGCTGATATACTTGTTGAAATTTCGGGGGGAGAGATCAAGGGGATCTCTCATACCACCATTCCTCTAATGTCACTCCCCTAAAGATCTCAATCTGGACTTTCTCAATGTTAGGTTACCCAGCAAAGGGGAATTAAAGTTGCTATTCATCAGATAAGGAGATTATGAAGGTGGGCTCAGTTAAGTGGAAGAACAAGGAAGAGGAAAAGGTCTGACTGATCAGGTGTGAGAACTCAGCTCACCATTGGTGGCTTTAAAAAAGGTTGGATCATGAGCCAAGGAATGTAGGTGGTTTCCAGAAGCTAGAAAAGGCCGAAAAAGGGATTCTTGCCTCGAACATGGCCCTATCCCCACCTTGATTTTAGCTCTTTGAGACCCATATCAACTTTCTGACCCCTCAAACTGTAAGAATACTGTTATTTTAATCCACTGTTTGTGGTAACTTGTTAAAGCAGCCATGGAAAACTAACAGATATGGTAAAGGTATAAGAAATTGCCATAATGCTTGAATCATGTTGCATTCCTTCCAGCAATGTAAAATGTTATTTCTAGCCATTCCATGTCCCTTTCTTTTCTAGTGTCAGGTTTGTTGTTCTTTTTAATTTTAGTCATTCCATGCCTCTTCTCATTCTCTTATCATGATTTATCATCCTTGTCATGATTTATCATTCTTAATATTTTAAAATGTAAGAACTTCCAATATTTTTCTATTTTATTAATTCCTCATTTATTTTTCTTTGGGTTTAGTTATTCCTCTTTAATTACTTTTTAAGATGAATGTATAGAATATTGGTTTTCAGCCTTTTTTCCCTGCTAATACTAACTCTAAGGACTATAATTTTGATGTGAAGTATGACTTTAGCTGCTTTGCATGAGCTGTGGTATATCATATTTACATTGTTATTCAGTTCAAAATATTTTCTAATTATTTTATTTCTTCTCTGACCCATGAGTTGCTGAAGCTACTACATCACATACAATTTTAGAGTTGTTATATATTCTTACTTGAAGTATACATCTTCATCCCTAGCAATGCTTTTTGTCTTAAAATTTTTAACACACAGAAATATAGCTAATCATTATCTTTTGGTTAAAATTTGTATGATGTTCATTTTCCTTTCCCCTTCTTCTGTCTATTAAGACATAAAGTTTTAGACCTCTCTCTGGTGAGGTACACATAGCTGTTTTTAAAAACTTTTATCTAAAAAAAATTAGAGCATGTAGTACATGTAATTACTGGTTTATTTGGATTTAAATCTATCACATTACTAAATGTTTTCTGGTGTTATACTTATTTTATTTCCCTTATTTTCTTTTTTATTTTGGATTATCCTTTATTAGACTAGCATTCTTTCTACTGCTTGAAAATACTTACTTTACCATATTTACACACTTGACCATACTTACATGCACTCTTTTAAGTCTCATGTTACCTGGTGAACTGGGACTTTTATCCTCATCCTAGTTAACACAAGAACCTAGACCATTTGATCTGCCCTACTCTCCTAATAGGCCACTGCTGTGTTGTATTAAAACTAATGTTCTTTATATATTCCTAACCATGAGAGACATATTGTTTTAGTCATTTGTCGTTTAGATTTATCCTTTTAATGACAACTTCCATTACTATATATTCCTTTATGCATCAATATTTTTAGCCTCATCTGAGGACATGCTTATTGATTTTAGAGAATGGGGAAGGGAGGGAGGGGGGAGAGAAACATCAATTAGTTGCCTCTTGTACATGCCCTGACTGGAGACCGAACATGCAACCCATGCATGTGCCCTGGCCAAGAGTTGAACCCATGATCTTTCGGTTTGCAGGTCAATGCTCCAACCAACTGAGCCACACTGTCCAGGGCTGCATCAGTATTTTTAAAAAAACTCAACTTACATTATTTTATTGTATACTCAGGATTAAGAACAACTGGCCTAGGCTATAGTCTAATGAGTTGGACTGCCCCTGACATAGTTCCTCCTCTAGTTTATCTTTCCCATGAACTCTGTAGAAATATTTGACCACGTAAGGTTAAATCTTTCCATGGTTCCTACTGCCTGCGGGATTGGGCTTACAAACTTTCTCGGTCTGTTCTTGACCTGCTTCTAAAACCTCACACCCCAACGCATGACACAATTCCCAGTCAGAGAATATCTCCCCTATATTCTCTATTCATATTTAGCTACTTTCCAGAGTAAACAGATTTTATCAAAAACATGTTATTCCTTATACCTGGATTGCCTTTCTCCATTTCTGCATTTGAAAAATTATTTCTAATGTTTTAAGACCCAGTCACTTCCCTGGATGCTCTATTGTGCCCTTGTGAATAGAGGCAGGAGCAACTTTGAGAGTACTCTATGAACGAATCTGGTCTGTCTTGTTACTATTGTTGTTGCTCCAAAAGGACATGGATAGCCTTCTAGCCCAAGAAGAACACAGGACCTAAATTAAGTTCATCTTCAAGATGGGGATACTAATAATACCTGTAATGCTTTTTCCTTTGTGTCGTTTTGAAACTGAAATAACAGTCTATGTGAAAGAGCTTAAAATTAAGGATAGTATGTATAAAGATTAATGGTTGGTAGTGAGAGGCAATTCTGTCTCACATGCCTTATTGGAAAAAATATAAAGAAAACATATCTAGCTTTATTTTGTTCCCACGAAATTTGTTAATTTAAGCATTGGTATATAATAACTCACTTTGTAAGGAGAATTTGAATATCACCGTGCAATTATCTTTATAATTGCTTTCTTTGCAGCACAACTCTTTTAAAATAAAATTATACCTGGAATCCCAAATAGATGAAATAAATGAAAGAGTCATATTGTAGATGAAGCACACATGGTGAGTCTTTCTCATAGCAGAGTCATTAATAAAGTGATTACCCGGCCCTGGCTGGCGGTGCTCAGTGGATTGAGCGCAGGCTGCGAACCAAAGTGTCGTAGGTTCAATTCCCAGTCAGGGTACGTGCATGGGTTGCAGGCCATGACCCCCAGCAACCGCACATTGATGTTTCTCTCTCTCTGTCTCCCTCCCTTCCCTCTCTAAAAATAAATAAATAAAATCTTAAAAAAAATAAAGTGATTACCCTTCTGTTAAGTGAAGAGGTTTAGGCAGCTTTCCATATCTTTTCAATTAGAAACCTGAATAACTTTGTCTGAATACACCAACAACCAATCTGACATTAAAAGTAACTTTATTAAAGTTTAGGACAGCTGTTCTGTACAGAGTTTGATGCCTACAAATAACCACCACCGCCATTACACCACTGAGCTTCCTGGATGACCCTCCTTGCTAATGCTCAATGCTATGGCATTGGCTGGGCTCTGCACAACAGGCTACCTGCCCTCAGGGGCTCACCAGCCCTCCTGCCCTCACCTTCTAGAACCTGGGCATTACTGATTCTGAGAAGAAAGTGCATAGCTTTCTCTGTGATACTTATAACTTATTTTACTACAGTTTAAAAAGGCAAAGTGGCATTTGTGTATTTCAAATGTAAAGATGGAAAGTAAATTATTTGTCCAGATAAATTGTACTAGAAAACAAAAGGTTTTATTTGCAATATACACAACTTCATAAAAAAACAAAACAAAATGCTGTTTAGAATCTAACATAGGCTAAGTTAAACACTGAAAAATAATGGTAATGTACCTGTTTTAAAATAATTCAAACATAATTAAATGAACTAATTTTGATAAAATGTTAAGATGATAGTTTGTAAATAAAAAGTTAATATAATTTAAACACATTTTAGTAAACTGTGTAGGTATATTTTGTCAGCTTAGAATATTTAAGTACAAAAACAAAAAATTGTATACGTATGACTGTTAAAAAAAGTTAATTGTTCTGAGAGTACTACTAAGGCACTGAATTCAATTATCCTTTTTGATATGAATTATCTAAATTTTTGTATCTTTGTATTCAGATGTTCATTGCTATTTGTTACGCAAAATTTTTAGTAAGATAATTCAATCTTATTATTTTTCCCCTGGAAGACTGAGTTCTAAGCAAGAATATATAACACATCCCAAAAAAAACACTGGCATAACACCCATGTCCAAAAGTACTTATCACTAGAAAAAGGGTTTATATACTTGGATGCATTTACTTTTAAACATATTTTTTTCACCACAAAAATACATCAATCACAAGAAGGCATGCTGAAGCACAGAAGACTGTCATGTTATATAAAATTTGATACAAAAATCTTAGCATCATGTTACCAACTAGATAATTATATCAAAAATTAAAAGTTCTATAAAACTATTAAGAGGTTAGACTTTCGGGTACATAATACATTTTAAAACATATTCCCCAAATTTTACCTTTAGTATGTATAAGAAAAAGGTTCATCTTGGAGCATGAATGCAATCAGACAGCCATAATAACATGGAGAAGTTCAGTATTTTCAATAGTACTGACACTGCTCTGTGGTAGTATGCTCTGCAAAGTGACCACAAATCGGTAGCAGGGACCTACATTTATCACAAACCAGCACCTTAAAAACTTCTAACAGTGAATATGTAAGTTCTATCATCCACTCTGGCTTATATATTGACCTTATACTTAAAGTATTTTTCCATAAATGGCAGTAACTCTGGCCACTTGCCAGATAGAGCAAATAAAATAAGCAAGAAAAATCACAGCATACTTCTAACATTTTAATAACTTTGCTTGTGAAGACCTTCTGTGATCTGTAACATTTGTTTTACATAAAATTGGAGCTGGAAAGAGAAAAAAAATATTTGATTGGCACAATATAAAACCATATAAGAAATAAAAATTACTAGAATCATTAGTTTTACAAAACTTTTCCACAAAGAACAAGTATACATCTAATTAATATTCTGTAGAATATCTAACTATGGAACTTTGGAAAGAGAGGCAAACCCCCCTCCACCAAACTCTATTTTCTTGAGGATGAATTCTGGGCTCTCAAAAAGCTATGGGCTTGGCCCTGATTTTGTCAGCAACAGCTCATACCAATGGTTCTCAAGTGAAGGAGGATGATAATTTCCACAAGGTAAGTGTAAATTGTCTTTCATATATAAAATAAATATGGGGGAATCCAATTTTATTAACATTGGATTAAGATAAAAAGAAGGTAATAGGTCCCATAGCTTTGTAAGACAAAGCATAATGAAAAGCAATAATAAATTACATTTATTGTTTTATCTTTTTAAATTCAATATTTGAATAAACGTCATATTATTCCTTTGACAAATAATGGATGCCCACTATTGTACCAGACACTGTTCTAGGCTTTGGGAAGGGATACATCCATGAAGAAAACTTAGAATCCATGCCCCTGTGGAGCTTATATTAAAATATCATTTATGAGAATTCCTCTGTCTTCCATCAAAAGCTGTAAAATCCACAGGTCAATGAAATACACTAAAACCCTCTGGATTTACTTCTCCATAGTTCAAAATTGGTAAGCTACCATGGACCAAATGAATGTTTTCCTATTATGAAACTGAGTTACAATATTCTGAAAATGCTAGGTTAGAAGCACCATACTTTTGTCATGCATAATGTGCTCTCGTGTATAATGCATGCCCATGTTTTTGGCCAAAACTTTCAGGGAAAAAATCTTTCGTTTTAATTTTTGAGTTCAATTATTTATTTATTTATATTTAGATACTGGGTTTTTTTTGTATTATAAAGAAATATTAGCATTTTTTAAATATATTATGGCACAAGAAATTTTATGTAACAAGTAATTACAAAACTAGAGCTACACTTTTAAGGCATAAGCATAAATAAAATAATTGAAAACATTTATCTAGATATGGAATTAGTACTACCTATGTAAAATACACATCCTTATTTTTCCCTCAAAAATTTTGGCAAAAAACTGCACATTATATATGGCAAAATATCGTAAGCTGGGTGATAAAATTAACCAGAAGTGTTGCTCTGTGAGGAACATAAGGAGGACTTGATGCTGCTAGAGCAGAGATAGTTGGAGTAAATTGAGGCAAAAACCCACAAAGAAACATTCCCAATACAAGTCAATGATGAATTATGAGAATAGTCAGATAGGCAAACTGATGGGGACATTTTAAGTGGGAGAAACTTTAAGTGGGAGAATTTTGTTCTTTTTGTACAAAGTACAAAAGAGGAAAAAAAAACTTATTTTCTAAAACTTTGGTTAAGTTCGATTGTAACACATACCCCAAACCTATAAGCCTTGAGAATATCATCCAAATGCTACTCATGGCCACCCCATTGTACTGGTACCCTCTCTACCTTCCTCTGCATCTTTACGTCCACCATTGGTTTCACAAGCTCTGACATCAAAGCACAGGAGTTCGAATCGATAGCCTGGTTCCCTTATTAAAATAAAAATTCTCACAAAATCATTATCAGTAGAATTTGTTTTAAAAAAGTGAACCTAAGAATTAGCTTTTTTAAAATCAAGTATTATTTTACACCTGATTCCACAAGAAAGTATACAGCTTCCAATTAGACATAAAATTCAATGTAACTAATGGTAGGTCAGTAGATATTAGATGTGTGTTACAGCCATAGGCTTGGCTATGAAATAAGAGCAGCTGACTTTTTCCCTAGGTAACTGACCCTTTTTACATTATGATGTATTTTTATATAGTTCATTCATTTTCCCAAATATTTAATGAGCACCTAATGTGTGCCAGGTGCTGTTCTAGATGCCAGGGAAGCAGCAGTGAACAAGAAAGACAAGGTCTCTGCTCTCAAGGAGCTGACATTTAGTACAGAAGGCAGACAAGAAATAGGACATAAACAGTGAGAAACTATAAAGATCAAATAGGGCAACAAGACAGCAAGTGATGGGGATGAGGCTACCAGATACAGGTGGTTGGAGATGGCCTACTTTTTACGGTCTTTGTCTTTCTTCAAGTTGCTGCCCATCGCCATAAAGGTCTGGTTCTGGTATATCTCAGAGGTAGCTTTCTTTTTAGAGAAAGAGATTATTTCTTCTTCCAAAAGTCTTCTCTTTTCTTCAAGTTTCATTCTCTCTTCTTGGTGGACTCTTGTGAGGTGATCAAATTTGGCCTGTAACTGTGAAACAAAGGAGCAGTTCTCACTACTGACAGAGAATGGCAGCAGAAGCACAGGAATGTTCTCCTACTCTGAAACACACTGCTCAAGTGACATATACAATAACAATAACCTATACCATCTTCCTGAAGCTTCAGGGGAAAATTTACATATGAGACTGATTTAGAAACTTTAATTTTAAATTAGTTCCCATGCAAAAATATGCATGAACAAAATATAACAACAACAATAAAAAACCCCCACAGCCTCATGAACAAACCTCAGGCAAATTATCAAAAAAGAAACCCTCATTTTCCAAATAAAGTTATCATCGGTAGTAAAATAGTTATTGAAAATTATGCTGAAAAATATGTTTAGAAAGCAAAACTGTCCATTAAAATCAAGAATCTTAAAAATCTATTCTATTTTTTTCAGTCATTGACCTTCTTGAAATTTAAACTAAGAAACCCTAAATTTACAGTAAAAATACTCACTGTAGAGTTTACCCCATAATGGAAAAAAAAGCTTGTGTATAATAGAAATAAAGTTAAAAAATAATACATTTATGCTGAATACAGTTAATGAAGCCATTACAATGAGTTTTACAAAAGTTTATAACATTATAACACAAGATTTCCATGGTTTAATTGTTGATCTGGAAAAAAATCTAGGGAATTCAGTGGACTCCATATGAATTAGCTGTGTCCCATAAATAAGCATTCTAAATAAAAATAAAAAAAAGGTATCTGTTTTTCTCTGATCTTCTAGTCTGGTTAAAGAAACTTTAAATTAGTATCTTTAGTTCTAGGTAGCAACCTAATATTCAGACAAAATTAAAACTTAGTTTCTAGAAAAGGTGGCATATAACAATTGAGGAAACATTTCACTAAAATCAGAGGCTGACAGTAGGAACTGGAGAGAGCTGAACTCCATCTTAATAAATACTAAATGTTCCAAATATAGAACATGTGTCTGCAAGCCAGTAAACCCCCTGGTAGAAGTATTTAAATAGAGACTGTATAAGGTTGAAGCAGATTAAGTGAGGCCAAAAGATAAATTTAAGAGTATTTGTTTTATAATAATATTGGCAAGGATATTTTAAATATCAAGGTCCCCTAATACAGAATTAAATAATGTTTTGGGTTACCAAAATTATCTTTTAATTAATGATTGCAAGTATCTTACTGACATAACTAGCTTTAAAATGTTAGCAGCCAAATATTGGGAGACCAGCTGTCTTGGTTTACCCTGAAGAGACCTGGTTTACACCTATCTATTGCTCTAGTGTAATTATTAATAAGCCCTCTTTCCCTCTAAAATCATTCTAATTAAGGCAATACATTATACTGTCTTCCTTAGTTCTTTAGTAGATAAATCTGGTCTCATGGAGTGATGATTATTGACTAGGTGCCCTTTTTCAGCTGACTGACACTGACTCTAAAGTATCAACAATATTGGCTTCACAGCATGAAAACTGGTCATTAGGTACTTTGTAACATCAATGAAACCAGCCAGTAATCTACCCCCTCTAAAGCTATATATAATTAAAAGTTTAGAACTCTTTTGCCATGGTTGGTTATTGATAACTTAGTTTTAAATTAACTTGTTAGTTTAATATATACTCTTAATGAAAAACAGCACTTGAATCACAAAAATAAAACTCTACAAAGGACCTACTGACAAATAGTTTTTCTTTTTTTTTAATCATTTGGACACTCTGACTGTTTAATTTCCTTTTAAACAATATACATGTATGTGAAATATTCTTATGTGAGATTTTAAAAATTAAAACTCATCTATGAATCACTTCTCTAAATTCTCTTTCATTAGAGAAACTAAGAATCATGATATATGAGAAAGAAACTCTTGAAAGAATTTTACTCCAGTACCATTTTAAAGATAGAATATCAACATCCTTATTTCCTACTCATCACAACTCCTTCCTCAATATTTGTATTTAGAAACAATTACAAACTAGGGACTAGTTTAAAAGAGACTAAAGAAAAAAAATACCCAAATGCAATAAGAGACATGTGATTTAATTCTGGTTCAAAAACAAAAATAAAAAATTAACATACAAAAAGAAACAGTAATAGACAATCTTGAGACAACTGGGGAAATTTTAATATGGACTGGAAATTAGGTGAGATTATGGCATTCCTACTAATTTTCTAAGGCATGATATTGTTACTATGGTTATGAAGAAAAATACACCTAAGCTTCAGAGATGCAAACTGATATGCCCAGAGATGAAGTGTCATGATGTCTGCAACCAGCTTTGGATGACCAAGGAAAGTTATATATGTATGTACACACACAGATACACACATACACACTAAAATAAAGATGACAGAATGTTCACTGATAAAGCTAGGTGTGGGGAGGGACACAGGGTTACTCTGTACTTTCACTTTCCTATTATTTCAAATTTTTTAAAAGAAAAGATCAAAATTCAAATTACAAATAGGATATATTAGTAGAGTATTAATTTTACAAAACCATTTACTATTTAAATATCAAATAGTGTAAGTGTACTTGAAATAATAAGTTTGTAAAATTAAATTACAAATAACTCTTTAGGAACTCCTGGGTTACAAAGCTCATTTGTATTAACATTTCTCTTTTCTCCTTGAAATCCTTTTTTTCAGCTCATCCTTTTTGAGTCTCACCTGAATAGCTTACAAGTAGCCATTGCAATTAGGCCTGCAGATTTATAGAAAATAGATTAACATAAATAAAACTAAAATTGTTGCTCGAAGAATGAGAAGCAAACAAAACTGCAGGAAAGAATGAGAAGCAAACAAAACTGCAGGAATTCACTGCTGATGTTTACCTGTGCCAAGGCTATATCCAAAGGTCATCTACACCAGGAAACTTACCTAGAAAGCCTGAGTTCAAACTCAAAAAGTTTCTTAAACAGCTTTTATAGTTATCTATTTCACAGCAAAACACAATCCCAACCACTCTCAAAAACTCTCTCTCAAAGAAAAAAAAAGGGCTTCATCGAGCCACAGCTAAAACATTTCTGGCTCATGGTTAAGATATTTACAAAACTTCTCAGTAAACTGGTGTATTACAAGTTCTTGGTAACCCACTTGTAAAGGATGACCATTTGCTCATAAAGTCCAAAATTTTTATTTGATTTCATCTATGATTTTTTAAAAGACTAAGTGTTAAAACAGCTAGTTTTTAAAGACTAACAACTAGTCTACAAATGCATCTCAACTAAGTTCTTGAGATAAATCCCCCAAATTAATAGGACACCAAATTTTTAGGACACCTAAAAATGCAAATCCCATTAAACTAGTGCACTTGCCTCTCTTTCAGCTTCTTTTAGTATGGCTTCTTTCTCCTTTACTCGCTGCACAAACATCTGCTTCATCTCTTCTTCCTTCCTGTGGAGTTCCCCATAAAACTCGTGTCTTTTGGCTTCGTAGGTCTCTTGAAGACTAAACAGTTTTTGTAGTATTCTCATGTTAAAAAGATGGTATAACAAATTTGCAAAAATTCAAATATCTCAGGTTAAGCCTCATAACTATACCATGTATCAACACCTTCTTACATAGAGCAACTGAAACACGAGATTTCCTGTATCAGGAATCATACAAAGCCACCAGTGCTATAGCTATCAGAGAGCACTAGAATTTTGAAAATTCTGCTTTGTCAAGTCCTTCACTATAAGTACTCTCATTTTATGTCAAAGAAAGTTTTCTTTCATCTTTGTTAATTTGGCATCATTGTGTCTGGAAACTGAGCTCAAAGTTCTGAAGTCATCTTTGACATTTCCCTTATCCTTATCTTTGAATCTGATCACCAAGGTCTGTGAGTTTAGCCTGTGACCCTGACACATCATTTAAATCCATCCTTAGGATGGCTACAGCAATCCTGTTAGAGCCCAACTTGATGTTTATGATTTTCTATCTTCACTACTGCAATAATCTTGTAATTTATTTCTGGGCTTTTAGTTCTTTCTTTCGCTTTGTTGCTCATCACTACTAAAATTTTTTCACCAAGACCACAGAGCTCACTATCTTTTTTCTCTGCATTAGAGTGATGTTTTCTGCAGAACGAGGTTCCACATATTTAAAGAACACTTATGAAACTTAACAATAAGGCCTAATTCCACCTTTCCACATTCATTTCTTACCAAAAAAACCCAAACCACCTTAGGTTCCAGCCATACCAACCTACTCATTGTTCCTAAAATGCCACTCACTTCATGCTTTATTTTGTTGCATCTCCTCTGCTACCAATGTCATTGCCCTCTTCTGAGCCCACCCCTCATTCTACCCAGGTCTTCCTAAGGCCAAATTCAAATGCAACTTCCACTACAGTCTTTTCCAGCCTCCCCCACTAGAGTTAGCTGTTCTTCCAAGCACTTGCATGGCACTTTGTTTATATCTCTCCTGACATTTATATCCAACCTGCCTCTCTTGAAATAGATCATCATCTTAGCAACCCCCTTCTGCAGCAGAGCTCTCTAGACATTTCAATTTCTTCATAAATATTTATTTAATGACAGAAATTGTCAGGATATAGACCCAAATTTAACCAAGCAGAATAAAGACTGTCCTATTTGAAATATGATAAATTAAGAAATTTCACTAGTTTTAAACATTATAACAGGAGAAATAAATCTTTTAAGTATAGAATTCTATAAGTTCAAGGAAAAATAGAGTAAGAAATGTTGCATAATAGTCATCACAGCTGCTAGTGAGTGTGGAATACAAAGCAGGTATTCAGAGAAGGAACAGATACTAAACACTGTCTTTAAGAGCATGGGTGGACCTGGATGGAACATTATGCTAAGTGAAATAAGCCAGTCAGAGAAAGACAAGTACCATATGATTGCACTCATATGTGGAATCTAATGAACAAAATGGACTAGCAAACAAAATAGAAACAGACTCACAGATCGAGAGAACAGACTGACAGCTGTCAGAGGGGAGGGGGGTTGGGAGGCTGGGTGAAAAAAGTGAAGGGAGTAAGCAAATGAAAATAAACTCACAAACACAGATAACAGTATGCTGATTACCAGAGGGAAAGGGAGGTGGGGGGAGGTAGAAGAGGGCAACAGGAGATAAATGGTTATAGAAGGAGACTTGACTTGGGATGGTGAACACAAAATACAATATACAGATGACTTGTACCCCTGAAACCTACATAATCTAATTAACCAATGTCACGCCAATAAATTCAGTAAGAAGTTAAAAAAGAGTAAAGCTTATAAAATATATAAAATGCTCTAGATAACCACATAAATGCTTCAAATCTCAAGGGGGCGTTTTAGTTTTTACCAGGTTTCTTGTTTTTTGGTATTTGTTTCGGTCTTATTTTAAAGATGTCTCTAAAGTCTAAATCTATCTGGCTACTTTCATCATTTTCAGAAACTTCACCACATTTGGCTGGTCCAACACAGGGTTGGTATTCTTTAATGACAAACTTGGTTTAAATAACATCTTGAATTCATATCAAATATAAGTTTAAAAAGTTCTGATTAATGTATTTATATTAGCACTTGAGTTCCTTAGGGGCAAAATAAATCTACCCAGCAAAAAGACCTAACATTTATTGAATAGTTGCTATGAGCATGGCACTTTTCCGGACTCTTGTCACTACCTAATTCATGGCAACTAATGGCAACCATGAAGAACAAATGTCAATACTCTTCTTTACAGTTCAGAAAACTAAAGCTCAGAGAGGTAATCTGTCCAAAGTAACAAAGCTGGTAAGTTAAAAGGTGAGGTGCAAACCAGATCAGACCAGCCGCAAAGCCATCTTCCTAACTACCATCATGAGACTACCCTGAAGGGAAGCCTCAGCAAAAGACCAAAAGAATGACTACTCTGCATATTTCCCATCTCACCACAGTCTTTCTAACTTGGACATTGTAAATTATAAACCTAACTGCAAGTACAGAAACCTATACTATATTTCAAAAGATGGCAAAGAAACCCTTAGATCTGAAAGGAAATGGTTTATATACTGTTGTAAAACTAATCAACCATTGTTTACTATAATGGGTTTATTTTCATTTAAATAACAGAAACTTTTATTTTCTATTTTAAAATATATTTTATTGATTATGCTATTAGAGTTGTCCCACTTCCCACCCTTCATTCCCCTCCACTCTGCACACCCCCTCTCACCCACATTCCCACCTCTAGTCTATGTCCAAGTGTCATAAGTTCTTTAGCTTCTACATTTCCCATACTATTCTTGCCCTCCCCCTGTTTATTTTCTACCTACCATCTATGCTACTTATTCTCTGTACCTTTTCCCCCTCTTTCCTCCTCCCATTCCCCTGTTGCTAACCCTCCATGTGATCTCCATTTCTGTGGTTCTGTTTCTGTTCTAGTTATTTGCTTCGTTTGTTTTTGTTTTAGGTGTGGTTGTTAGTAATTGTGAGGAGTTTACTGTCATTTTACTATAGATGTTTTTTATCTTCTTTTCTTAGATAAGCCCCTTTAACATTTCACAAAATAAGGGCTTGGTGATGATGAACTCCTTTAACTTGACCTTATCTAGGAAGCACTTTATCTGCCCTTCCATTCTAAAAGAAAGCTTTGCTGGATAGAGCAATCTTGGATGTAGGTCCTTGCCTTTCATGACTTGGAATACTTCTTTCCAGCCTCTTCTTGCCTGTAAATTCTCTTTTGAGAAATCAGCTGACAGTCTGATGGGGACTCCTTTGTAGGTAACTGCCTCCTTTTCTCTTGCTGCTTCTAGGACTCTCTCCTTCATTTTTATCTTGGCTAATGTAATTATGATGTGCCTTGGTGTGTTCCTCCTTGGGTCCAACTTCTTTGGGACTCTCTGAACTTCCTAAACTTCCTGGAAGTCTATTTCCTTTGCCAGATTGGGGAAGTTCTCCTTTATTATTTGTTCAAATAACTTTTCCACTTGTTGTTCTTCCTCTTCCCCTTCTGGTGCCCCTATAATTTGGATATTGGAACATTTAAAGATATCCTGGAAGTTCCTAAGCCTCTCCTCAGTTTTCTGAATTTGTCTTTCTTCATTCTTTTGTTTGGTTGTTCTTTCTTCCTTCTGTTCCACTACACTGATTTCAGTCCCAGTTTTCTTCCCATCACTATTGGTTCCCTGTGCATTTTCCTTCATTTCACTTAGCGTAGCCTTCATTTTTTCATCTAATTTGTGACCAAATTCAACCAATTCTGTGAGTATCCTGATCACCAGTGCTTTGAACTGTGCATCTAATAGGCTGGGTATCTCTTCATCACTTAGTTGTATTTGCTGTGGAGATTTGATCTGGTTTTCCATTTGGCCTTTTTTTTTTTTGGTCTTGTGCCTGTTACGTATGAGGGGTGGAGCCTTAGGTGTTCACCAGGGCGGGGCAAGCCAGTTGCTGGGTTGTGACACCATATGTGGGGGTGGGGTCTGAGAGGTAACAATGGCGCTTGCTCTCTGTCGGCTCTCAGTCCCTTCCGCTGCTTCTCACAAGCAAACTGGGCCTTTCTGGTGCTGATTCCTGTGTGGGTGAGTTTGTGTACGTTCTAGGACCCTGTAGGTGTCTCCAATGAACTCTCCTGTGAGGCTGAGAGTTCCTCCTGGCGCCTCAACTTACACAGGTGTTTTCAATCGGTGTTTTGAAGGTTTATTTCCCGGCGCTGGGACCCTGGGTTGGGTAGTCTGTCTCACTCCCCAGTTTTGTCGGGTTTATCTGCACATGTGAATGTGGGACCGCCAGGTCAGCCAGGCGCCTTGCGTGCAGTGTCCCGCTTCACAATCACATCCTTGCTGGGTCTGCCTGTTGCCACCCTGCACCCAGGGTCTGCCAGTCGCCGCCTGTGCGCCCAGGGTCCACCCGTTGCCTTCTTGAGTGCCTGGAGTGCCTTGCACTCTTAGTGCCACTGCTTTTTGTGCTATGACCCCTCTCTGCCTGGCTGTCCGATACTGGTCTGGATGAATGTGTCTATTTTAACTCCTTCGTTGTTGGACTCCCATATAGTTCAATTTTCTGTCAGTTCTGGTTGTTATTTTGTTTCTCACTTGTCGTCCTTATTTTGGTTGTGCGAGGAGGCTCAGTGTGTCTACCTACACCTCCATCTTGGCCAGCAGTACTATAATGGGTTTATTTATCAAACAAAAATGAAAAACAGTGTTTTTGCTATACTACTCCCTTTTCTAGTATAAAAGTAGCTTGTTGTCATGAATGTTTAATGTATATAACATGGTAGTATAGTTGCAAACATCAGCAATTAAAAGCAAAGTTGAAACCCAAAAAGGAAGAAAAATAATTCTCAGATGCTCATGTTGACCAAGAAAACCACTCCAGTCCTTTCATTTTGTTTCATGTAGTTTTAATAAGCCTGATGGACTTTTTACAGTTCTACTGCAGACTAAATACTTAGAAATTAACTATGTATTTATTGAGAGTTCCAAAGACACAAACTTTTATGACACAAAAAATTATGTTTCAGACAACAAG